AATAACGGTACGCACTCTACTTGTTTTAAAATAATACATTCAAAATAAATTAAACAAATGTACAAAACAATTATTTACACTACATATATATATGTATATATCATAGTTGTACCTTAATTACTATACAGTTTTTCTTCTTGTTGTCAAAAGTCCACTTAGGCCCATTCAATTGCTTTAGAATTCAATTTACAAGCCGAACTATCTTTCTCTATTTTTATCTTAAACACTATCAGTGTATGATTTACTTATTCCTTTTCTTCTCTCTCTCTCTCTTTTTATCACAACAGTATCGGTGTATAATTCACTTACGCTGTCACTGAGTTACTGCAGTTGAATCTTTAACTTCCGATACTCGTCTGCTTTTTCGTATTTAGGCCTACTTCCAATAAAAGTGTGCTTTTCGCATATAGGCCTGCTTCCAAACAATCGTCTGCTTTTTGTCAAAGTTCACACAGGCAGGTTTAATTGCTTTAGAACACCCTTTGACGAGACAAATTATTATCCTAAATGTAAAAACACTGCTAATCTCACTTTAACATATCAACCGTTAGGCTATTCACTTCTACGACGGTTAATATTACTTTGTTCAACCTTTTTCTGACCGAAACTCTCTTTCACTCGGCTTTACTTTTGGCTCTCTTCCCGCTCTCTGGTCTCTCCACTGGTCGCCGCTTTTTATATCTCTCACTGAGGTGTTCTAGAAATATCCGCAACCTCAACATCAATAACATACAAACACAACTTCCAATAATTGTCTGCTTTTAACTCTCTTATTGTAAAAAAAACTAAACAATCACGAAATACTAACTCACAAAATAAATTAATTAATACTACTTACACTAAACAACCTTTTATATCTGACAATGTACCTTATTTTGTTTTTAGAGCTTAAACAAAAAAGTTTCACATGCGCGTTAATTATACCGAAATTGACAAACGATTATATTACTGTTTTATAAATGACTTCTGTAACCAATAAAACCAAGATAACTGTAAGGTATTCACAGATGGGGCCGATTTCCCGACAGTTGCCCTCCAGTGGCACAACGGTATGTCTGCGGACTTACAACGCTAGAATCAGGGTTTCGATACCCGTGGTGAGCAGAGCACAGATAGCCCATTGTGTAGCTTTGTGCATAATTACAAACAAACAAACAATTCCGGACAAGTATCAAACAGAATAATCTACAATAATGGCAGAATTTATCCAGGACATTTCCAAGAATTTTGATAGAGATAATTGAACTGAGTGTTCCTTTTAGTGCATAAATAACTTAGCTAAACACATTTTGAAAAAACAAACAAAATATTTATTTGAACATTAAAAAACGAAGACTAGAACATATACCCATAATAGACAAGTTGATAGTCCTTCCTTCCTTCCTTTAGGCGCCACGGTTGAACAGCTGTAAGTCTATGGCTTTACAACTCTAACATCCGGGGTTAGATCCCAGCGGTAGACGCAGTAGATAGCCATACGTGGCTATGCTCTAAAACAAACAAAATATTTCTCCCTTTAGTTGATGTTCATTCCTGTATTTTTCGTTCTCTCGAGATTAAATACTTCAACCCAAAACACGCAGATCTTCCAAAAAAGATCCGATTCTTCTTGTTGATCAATCAATGGAGTATTGATTTAATAACGCGTACTCAGATCCAAAATGTTAACTTGCTTTTTTTTGTCCACTTGACAGCGTCACCTCATGACCTCTGTTCCCTGAAATCATTAGCTTCATAATAGGCCAGCAAAAGTTACTTCACTGCCAACTTGTTCAGCCCATATTTTACACAAAATAATGAAACAACATCCCAGACATAGGAGACATCACTCACTAAAAAGAATCAACTATATCAAGATAATGCTAGCAACTCTCTGGACCACATGTTGCCTCCATGCGGAAACTCAATAATTAAAAAATTATTGAATTACTACAGAAGGTAAAAACCCATGATATTCCTGCTTATTATATTCCTATCTTCTTTCTCTGAGGCCTGTCCTCAAGACTAAAATTACAATGAACTTTAATGCCAATCATTTTAAAACTCGCAACATGATCGAATGTTAAATTTAACTTATTCCTAGAAACACTTAACCCTTTAACAACGAGCCTCTTAAACATTCTTAGCACAAAAGAAAAGTTCTTTATCATTAAGTTATTATATATATAAATATATATTACAATAGTCAAATTATTTTCGACTTCAATTTTCAAATTCAAATACAAGATACACATCACGTAGCATATAAAATATACTTTAATAATGGTTTAGCAGATATCACATAAGAATAAAAAAAATCTTTAATGATGAACTACTGTAAAATACTCTTAATGCATACAAAACAAAAACCTTTTACAGCGATTTAACGAAGTAAGATTAAGAAAAATAAGGGAAATGTTACACTGTCCACTTTAGGAGTGGACAGGCTGACAAAAAGAGACTAATTAGTGAGATAAAAAAAACCCGGAAAATATTTGGTCGTCAAGAAATTAATGTCGCGTTTTGGAATACTTTCATTAATCATCCCCAAAAAACGAACATCACGTTTAATAATTAAACGAATCGCCTAAACGTCACGTTAGCGTCACCTATATAATGTGTAAAGTTGAGTATACTCTAATCCCTTATAGTGATGGCACACGACGAGACACACATTCAGCATGTAATGCTGTTTTAATACAAGAAGGGAAACAATGCCTCTGTAGCCACAAAGAATATCAAAGATGTTTATGGAAATGTTTTCGTTCAAGTGACTTTAGCCTTTAAAACTATGATGGCAGGGGCCGACATGTTGGAACTGATGCTCTGAAGA